TTTCTTCTGTTGGTCGTTTGTTGCTACAGACCAGCTTAAAAGTTAGGGCTGCTCTTTCTGTAGTGCTCTATGTGAAAGGCTGTTTCCTCCCACATAGGACACCTGAACATGTGCAGCGCCAGCATGTGAGCCATCTTGCTAGATAAATAACTCAATCTTTTGCTGATGTTTATTTATCTTCTCACTGGCTTATTGTATTCTATGCCCATTTCGCAGCAGAGAGACCCAAGACGACAAAGAACTTTAATTATTTATTTCATATCTCCTGTTTCCTCCAAGTGGTTCTTTCACCATTTCATCCTCATAACAATCCTGGGAGGTAGGTTTGGATCAGAACTTATGACTGGTTCAAGGTCACCCAAGTGCTCTGTGGCCATGTGGGAATTTGAATCCAGGTCTCCCTCTTCCTTGTCCAATATGCTGACAGCCATGTTACCGTAGTGTTTGTATTAATTGGGCTCTGAAGTGTGAGTCATTAAGATTCACGGTCATTATTAGGCTTCATGGGAGTCATCTATTCATAGCTTGGATCATCGGAGGCTGTAGGTATTACAAGCTTGATCTTTCTGTGAAAGCAGCTTTTACCCAAGTGCAGTATTGAGTTTAAATGCGGGGTCATAAGTTTTTGGTGGAATTTTAATTAGTTTTTGGTGGAATTTTAATTGCTGGGAGAAATGGGGTATCTATATTGGTATGGTGAGTGTTGTGTATATTTTAACTTTTTTTTTTTTTTATTGGGGGGGTCCAGTTTTACCTTGGGGAAGAGCACCTCATTTCGTTGCACCCACTTGTGAGTGCAATGACAATAAATTTCTTATGTCTTATGTCTTAAAGTTCAAGCACAAGTATGATTTGATTGATTGGATTTTTAATACACCTTCTTTCATAAATAATAAAAAAACACTATTCAGTATTACAAATACCTAAATCAGTCAGTCAATCAATCAGTCAATCACTCTATCAAAGTTTAATTTAATAAACTAACACATTAAAATTGCCTATCTGTTACAGGGGAAGGTGGAGGTAGAAGTTTCCAAGAACATGATGTTTGAAGATGGACCTTTTTTCCTCTTACGGGGTCATGGCCTTCGATTCATCTTTCCCAGGAGGTAATCTGTGACTCCCTTTCCCTCCAGAGTTCCATCCCTCCCTATAACTGTGACCTGAGTCCCTGGTGGGTTTTCATCAACTTCATTCTGCATGAGGAAGGTGGCAGGAGAGAAGGGTGGTGGTGTTGCTAGCTGGCCTTGTAGGCAGAGGGACAGCCCAGTCTTTGAGCTGCAGTGTCCCTGTTATAAGCCCATTTATGCTGAAGGAGGGCAGCAACAAGAATAACCCCAAAGTGTGCTCGCTTGGTGCACTCTGTCCTCAGTGAGCTGCCAAAATATTTTTTGTGTTAAGCTAGTTTGGGAGGAAACCAACCCTGAGTGCTCACTGGAAGGACATATCCTGAAGCTGAGGCTCCCATACTTTGGCCATCTCATGAGAAGAGAAGACTCCCTGGAAAAGACCCTTATGTTGGGAAAGTGTGAAGGCAAGAGGAGAAGGGTACAACGGAGGACGAGGTGGCTGGACAGGGTCACCGGAGCGACCAACATGGATTTGACCCAACTCTGGGAGGCAGTGGAAGACAGGAAGGCCTGGCGTGCTTTGGTCCATGGGGCCACAAAGAGTCGGACACAACTTAATGACTAAAGAGCAACAGCTTGGGAGGGGGGGCTAAAGGGGGTGGGCAAATTAAGTCCTCCCTTTGACTGGGAATCTATAAAAACCATCTGTGACAAAGGATATATATGGCACACTTAGGCACAATCTTCAGCATCTTTAGGTAGGGCTGGAAAAGATTTCTGTCTCATATCCTGGAAAGCTGCTGCCAGCCTGTGCAGGCAGTACTGAGCTAATGGTTTAGCTTGGTATAAGGCAGTTTCTGATACTCCATTTTAAATCAGCTCTTCATTCAGAACCATGAGATACGAAGCCTTAGTTTTACTATTCAGGGCAGGAGTGATGGAGAAGCTGTATCCAAGCCCTGCACTATTTATTTAATTTATTTGTATCTTGAACTTGTATACTGCCCATCTAGACATAGTCTACTCTGGGCAGCTCACAGGACACAAAGTAAAACAATAGAAATAAATTAGCAGTTAACAACACATAGATAGTAAATCAAGATGGAGAGAATAAAAAGAAAATTAAATAGTGCTGGGAGGAAAGGCCTGTCTGAATAACTAGGTAATAAGTTGGTTTTTAAAAATGCTGCCACACACCATGTTGACTCTATACAGTCTGAGGTAGGACTCCAAGGGGCGGAGGGGCAGATCGACTGGGCAAAGGGTTGTCTCTGTTCCCCCATCGTCGGGATGAGCCGATGGGCGGCTGTTGATGAAGGGAAGAAGAGGGCTGGATAAGGGACCTTCCGGTCAGGGCCCACCCCCATTCTGCCCAAATACAGTCCCTGGGAAGGAAACACGGGGCGGGGGGTTTGGAGGCCCCCCCTCGCCTGAGCCTGGATCTCAGGCTCCCCCTTTCCTCTCTGCAGCTAAGTGAAGCCAAACACGCCCAGGGAGACGGAGGCCCGAATTGTCGGCTTGGCCTGGGGATTCGAGGAGCAGAGCCAGGAGGATCTCCTTGGCCAGGTGAGTCCATCCGTGGAAAGGCCTTGGCCCTCTTGGCGGCTCTTCCTGCCTTGCTGGCCTGATGACGCGCTCCTCTCCTCTTGATTTCCAGGCTTTCGAAGCGGAAAAGTTTTTCCTCCTGCCTCTGGCTCCCCTGGAGGCTGCCCTGCCGCCACATAACAACCCACCCTGCGGAAGTGCCCTGGAACCCATCTACCAGAGGCCTCCCCACTGCGACCATCATTCCCTTGGGATTGCTGGCAAGAAACAGCCTGACCAGGGGGGAGGGAACCGGGATGAGGGGCACACGGGCAGGGCAGCGGACACGGGGGTCCCGCTCCTGAGAAGGTCAGAGGGCTCGGCCCCCTTGAGGCTGAGCCCCCCTCGCCCACATGCCAGCTCCCTTTGCAAAGAGCTCCCGGTGGCTTGAGCGACCCCCGCGGTGGGACGGCGTGTGGACATTCCATGGGTTTTGGCCATGGTCCCCAAAGGGAAGTGAAGCTGAAGGTGAGGAGGGAAGCCCTGGGGACTGACCCCCGACCTCACTGTCCCTCTCTTGCTCCTCAGTCTTTTTCAGGAGGCGATGGAGCAGTAGTATCCAATCTCCCACTCCTGCCTCACACTATGTTTATAATATCTCAGGTAGGACTCCAGGGGTGGGCGGGGATGGGGGAAAAGCCCAGGCAAAGGGGCGTCTCTCTTCCCCTATCGTCAGGAGGAGCCGATGGACGGTCCGACCAGGCGTGGGCAGGGAAGGCACCATGGCAGCAGCCAAAGGAGGCCATGGCAAAGGGGAGAAGAGGGCCAGATGAGGGATCCTCCGGGCGGGGCCCACCCCCACCTGCTCCCACCCCCACCTGCTCAAGCACAGTCCCTGGGAAGGGAACACGGAGGGGGGGTTGGAGCACCCCTCCCGCCTGAGTCTGGATCTCAGGCTCCCTTTCCTCTCTGCAGCTAAGTGAAGCCAAACACGCCCAGGGAGACGGAGGCCTGACTCCTCAGCTTGGCCAGCATGAGATGAGCTGAGAGGATCTTCTCGACCGGATGGGCCAGGTGGATCCTTGATTGTCCTCAGCTGGAGGAAAGGCAGGCGAGGCCCCTTCAGGCCCCTTTCTGCCCCAGCCAGGTAGGGCCTCGACTGGGCAATGGGGTGTCTCTCTTCCCCCGTCGTCGGGATGAGCCGATGGGCGGCCGTTGATGAAGGGGAGGAGAGGGCTGGATGAGGGACTCTCCGCTCAGGGCCTACCCACACCTGCTCAAGCACAGTCCCTGGGAAGGATACATGGGGGGGTTGGAGCACCCCTCCCGCCTGATCCTGGGTCTCAGGCTCCCCCTTTCCTCTCTGCAGCTAAGTGAAGCCAAACACGCCCAGGGAGAAAGAGGCCCGAATCCTCGGCTTAGCCAGCATGGGGTGAGCTGGGAGGATCTTCTCGGCCAGATGGGCCAGGTGGGTCCTTGATTGCCCTTAGCTCTAAGGAAGGCAGGCGAGGCCCCTTCAGCCCCTTTCTGCCGCAGCCCAGGTAGGGCCTCCCCATCAGCAGCATTCTACCTGTGTCTTCCTGCAGGATTTGTATAAGACCACTCAGCAGGCCTTGGAGACGTTCTGGCTGCCTGGGTCCTTTCTAAGCAGAAAGGTGGGGTACCCAGGTTGGCAAGGAAAGAAATCCATCCATGGAAAGGCCTTGGCCCTCCTGGTGGCCCTTCCTGGCTTGCTGGGCTGATGGCGAGCTCCTCTCCTCTTGCTTTCCAGGCTTTCGAAGCAGAAAAGCTTTTCCTCCTGCCTCTGGTCTCTCTGGAGGCTGCCCTGCCTCCACATAACAATCCACCCTGCGGAAGTGCCCGGGGACCCATCTACCAGAGGCCTCCCCACTGCGACTATCATTCCCGCTGCAGCTGGGAATGCCAGTCTCCAGGTAAGACCCGACCGGTCTCAGAGGGGCCGGGGCCGGCCAGCTCTTGCCTGCAACGCTCACCAGGCCCCCTCCCGCCTGAGCCTGGATCTCAGGCTCCCCCTTTCCTCTCTGCAGCTAAGTGAAGCCAAACACGCCCATGGAGACAGAGGCCCGAATCCTCGGCTTGGCCAGCACGAGGTGAGTTGGGAGGATCTTCTTCGCCAGATGGGACGGGTGAGTCCTTGATTGCCCTCAGCTGGAGGGAAGGAGGCGAGGCCCCTTTCTGCCGCAGTCCACGTAGGGCCTCGACTGGGCAACGGGGTGTCTCTGTTCCCCCATCGTCGGGATGAGCCGATGGGCAGCCGTTGACGAAGAGGGCTGGATGAGGGACCCTCTGGTCAGGGCCCACCTGCTCAAGCACAGTCCCTGGGAAGGATACACGGGGGAGCGGGCTTTGGAGTCCTGCCTGATCCTGGATCTCAGGCTCCCCCTTTCCTCTCTGCAGCTCAGTGAAGCCAAACACGCCCCGGGAGAAAAAGACCCGAATTCTCGGCTTAGCCAGCATGAAGTGAGCTGGGAGGATCTTCTCGGCCGGATGGGCCAGGTAAGTCCTTGATTGCCCTCGGCTGGAGGAAGGCAGGCGAGCCCCTTTCTGCCCCAGCCAGGTAGGGCCTCCCCATCAGCAGCACTCTACCTGTGTCTTCCTGCAGGATTTGTATGACCATCCATCAGGCCTTGGAAATGCTCCTCCTGAGTCTCCTGGAAGATGACCTGACGAGCGACCACCCTTGCTGCCCTTTCAACCCTCCCCAGGAAGATCAGGGCTCCACCCCGGAGAAAGACCATAGACTTTACAAGTCCTTTCAGTGATCCCTGAAAAGAAGATACAGCTAGTTGTTTTTTTTCAATGGTGGCTAGATGAAGAGATTCTGTTTTTTTTTTTTTCATATTACAGATAACGTCTAATGTTAGATGCTTTTTGCTGGCTTTTTGGTTCCGAGCAATTCTTACACATTTTATTGTTAATTTTACTTAATAAAATGTATTTTAGATTTTTAAAAATATTTTAATGATGGAGAGACTTTCAGCTGGAAACTTTCAGCTTAGTCACTAATTTCTACTTGTTCTTCAATTTTTTTCCCAGATATATAGAACACACATATTCAAATAAATGTAGAAAATACTTCAGTGTGGCTCCTGTGTTTTTCTGCTTAGAAATGAGGTAGAACATTCCTCCAAGGAATTCCCCCTAAAATAGATAGAGGGAGATGCAGGTAGATGGATCAACCGACCGACCAACAGATATTGTTTTATCTTTTTACTGTATTTTAATTGTTGTAAGCCGCCCAGAGTCCTTTGCGTAGGGTGGTGGCATATTAGATAGAGTGAGTGAGTCCATGCGTGCGTGCGTGCAATACAACGATGTGAGTTTCTATGTGGGAAAAAGCCTTCCTTGAGGAGGAGAATGGCTTCTCTATAGGACTCTCTTCCCAGCCTTCAGAGTCCATGCGGGGTCTACCCTCAAGTAGGATCTGGGGAAGAAGTGGTGGCTTAGAACCTCTTGGCTCCCACAAAACGGAGGGCAAAATTAAAAAAAAAAACTGCCTTTCCCTGCATTACGGTATTTTCCAGAGAACCTTGCCTTCTCATGATGGGCCCAAAGAAGGACACCCTCAGTTTCATCATTTTTATCTCCAGAGAGAGTTCTGGTTTGATTTGATCTAGGACCCATTTGTTGGTCTTTCAGAAGCCCCACTGAAATGAAGGAAATGTGCTTGGTCTAGCCAGCCGAATCCCCATTTTGATTACAGTTAACCATCACTTTAATCTAAGCATCTTAACCCACCCGTTCTGGCTGGTACAAGTTGGCTGATTTATAGGCATGGGAAGCCAGTCGTTAATTCACTGTCCTCACCCCCACCCCTACCATTAAAGATGCAACAGACGGTCCTTGTTTCCCAACCTAAAACATTTCCAGAGGCTTTGGCTCAAAACATTTCACAAAAAACAGCACTTCTTTCTTAAATAGTCACTCAAGGATGTTTGTTCCTTATCATCCACCAAAGGTCGATCAGACACCAAAAATGTTCCATTTACATGACTGGCAATGCTTTTCTTTTGCACCTGAAAAGCTGAGAATGAGTCACAGCTTGCCTTCCAAGACCTTGGGGCCACAGAGGCTAGAAACCTGGCCGCCTTTTCAAATGAAAGCTGAGAAAGTTGTGTTGGTTGAAAATAGGAACAATGCTTCCTTATTACATGCTCTTGCTTGTTTGCAGACCCATAAAACTGGCCCCTAGAAAAAGGTTCAGGCCCAAGTGCTGTTCTCTCCGGTTGAAAGATTCTCTCAAAGCAGCTTTTTCAATCTGGTCGCCTTTGAGGACTGACAATCTGCCCTGATGGGACCCCCACGGAGACCACTAGATTTCCTGGAGCAGCACCGAGACATCGTGACTGCTGGAGGCTGGACGTTTCTCCTGAATTTCCAAGGTAAGCTTAAGTTGGGCATTGGTGCTCCGCTGGTGCCAACCTGTCCTTTGCGCTTTTGTCCATTTCAGGCTCTCTGGATGCTCAGTTTCCAATCGTCGTGAGAGCTGACGCACCCTCCTGACAGCCTGAAATTGACAAGGCCAGCAAAGATACAACAATCCTGTAGAGGAAGAAATGGAAAGACAAGCTGTGCAGGACTGTCAAATCCTGTACAGGAAACTGTCGGAAAGGTTTATCGCGGTGCGGGTGAGCCAGCCTGGGTGGCCCTGGGCCAGCTGCACAGTCCCAAGGTTGCCCCTAGAGGAAAAGAAGGGTAATGCATTTCTGATTCTACCTGAAAACCCCTGGAAAGGATCACTGTAAGTTGGAATTGACTTGATGGTGTGTGCACATGCATGGGCGGCACACACAAACACACTGACACACACAATGTATGTATGAACTGGAATGGAACTAGATCCACCACAACTGCAGATATAAATCTCTGTTTATATGGACTTTGTTCCCTATTGGGGTTATTTCTTTTTTTAAAAGCATAATTCATTTGCATATCATACCAGATAGAAATATTATCCACAGTTCAACAGTTTTCTTTCTTTTTCTTTTTTTAAAAAAGACTGCATGGTTCTGATTGTGACATCCTGCTGCTTTCCTGCAGAAAGGAGACCGAAAGCGGAAGACAGTTCAAGTGCTGAAGCGCAGCGCAGCTGCTGTTCGCAAGTCCGTGGCAGACCTCGTCCTGAACGAAACGCTTCTCAGGTGGCCGGTGCAGGAGGGCGGCTACAGCTTGGCATTCCGGTGGAAGGCCGGAATGTGAGCCGCGGCGTAGGCGGGCTGGCTGTGCCATGGTGAAAGGGGATACAGCCCGTGGCGTAGCGTGCTGTCGTAAGAGGTGGGATAGGGAACCAGGCTGGCCCCCAGTGGCTGGCAGAGGTCCGAGGGCTGTACGGAAGCCGTTAATAACGGGGTCGGGAAGGCTGGGATAATGAACGGACTGATGGAAAGCGACGGGTGCAGGGAGGGCGACTGTCCCTTCAAAGGCTCCCCGGGGCCACTGAAGTTCACAGGGAGCCTCACCATCATTCCCTTGTACATGTCTTGAACCTGAGGCACAGGAGCTACGGGGAAACCCCGACTTGCAACCGTCGCCTTGGGTTTCGCCACCCCTTGCGGGCCCTTCGGGGAAGGGCTGCGCTCCACCCCAGTGCCGGGCTCCATGTCCTGCATGAAAGGGGAGACGGCCTTCAGCTTCTTGCCGTGCCGGTAAAAGTCCTCTTCAGGCGCTCTCCTCCTCTTCGGCCCCACGCTGCCCGCCTCGGTCGGAAGAGCCACCTGGCCGGAGCTCCTCGAGATTTGCGGACTCACCTTGGCCAGGTTGGCCGCAGGGGGCACCCAAGAGGGCTTGAGGTGGGGCAAGGGAGAGGGCCCCTTCTTGCCCCCGGGGCCGCTCTTCTGGAAGGCGGAGGGCGGCTGGCTCTCCCCTCTCCAGGACGCACTCAGCAAGTGGGTCGGCCTCCGGCGGAGGTCTTCCGGCTGGTCCTCGGGACTCCCCTCCCTCTTTGGAGGGAGGCTGCCTGACATCATGTTCTTTCCATGCGGCTGATAGGAAGACGACGACGAGGCTGGGGCATCCCTCAATCCAGGATAGTAGTCCCCTGGTGCACGAGGATGATGGCACCTTCCAGGTTTTGCAACGTCACTTCTGGCGGAGCAGAAAGAGCTGCCGAAGGCAGGCGGGTCAGGCGATGGGCGACCCCCTGAGCTGCTGTCCTCTGTCTTCCGGGGACCTTGGCTGTCCTTGGGGTTTGGGGACACTTTCAACGTTCCTTCTTTCCCTTTTGAGACCGGAGAGGATCCAGCTGGGCCCCCGCTCCCCTCCACCTCCACCACCTCCTTATCTTGCCCCTGTTTATGGCAACGAATGCTCAACCAAGTCCCAGCTTCTGGGCCCGACCCGGAGATGTCTCGGCTCCTGGCCTTCTTATACTCAGGGCAGTGGCCGAGGTGTTTCTCGTGGCAGTACAGGGCTTCGTCCTTGCTGACCTGAGCCAGAAGCTTCTTCTTGGCCAAGGGCGACATGATTCCGTGGTTCCCTTTGAAATAGAAACTGGAGAAGAGCCGCTTGTAGGTCTCGGAGCAGCTGTGGGCCCTGCAGTTGCCACGGCAGCTGTCGGCGGTCTGGCTTTCCGGCGTCTCCTGCCCGTTCGGAAGGGCGAGGCAGCCTCCCGTTCGGTCCTGGGGTCGATTCTGCTGCTGGAAACCACTGCCGGGTTTAGGGTCAGAGACAACCACCTCGGGAGTCTGTTTTTCTGGCAGAACCACCTGCAACCAAAGAGAAACCGGATTGGGTAACATCCTTAAAAGAAGGAGAATATATGGAATAAATCAAATACTTCCACTTTTCTGCAAAGGGCAGGAAATTAAGGCTTCTGGTTCTCATCCTACAAGGTTCAGCTTAGGATACAAAGAGTATTCTCCTACCAAATTCTACTGCTGCTAAACAGAGGGATATACGTCTTCTGAGCTGAAAGAGAATTGCACCAGAATCATCCAAAGTCTGCCTCAAAACACCCCTGAATGCTCGGAAGTATAACTGAATCGCAAAGATAAAATATTATTGTCCATGTATTTTCTAAAGCAGTTATGTGAGGCCCTGAAACCTGGCTTCTGGCAAACAACCCCTCTTCAAATGCCTTGTTGATATGTGAGATTTCAGCAGGTACTGCACGCCCAGTTCCAAGTCAGGAGGACTAGAAACTTGTGCAGGTTTTTTTTAAAAAAGAAAGAAAGAAAAGGGAGATTCCTAGGAAACCTGATCTAATTTCTCCAGACCAAGCACAGTGAGATGCACCTTTCCCATTCCAGGTTTTAATCCGAGAGGACCGCCAGCTCACCCTACCCTCATCATTCCAGTTCTCTTGTCTGCAGTTCTTTACTCCCTATCAAGCTTATCCTGTAACCAGGATGTTCACTCCAAATCATGGGAAAGTGGCTTTAAGATAGTGGCATCAGCAGCCCCCGAGGACTTGCTTGGGACACTTGATTGCAACCTCCTCTCTTTATATTATCACTACACTCTGAATTAAAGAGCTGGCTGGATAGCTTAGTGGTTTTGGTCTCCGGCTGCAGAGCCAGAGGTTGGGAGTTTGATTCCCCACTTGTGCCTGCTGGGCGAAAAGCCAGCCTAGGTGGCCTTGGGCCAGCTGCATAGTCTCAGGGTGCCCCCAGTGGAAGGGAAGGGTAAAGCACTTTTGAATACTTTCTATCCGGAAGACCCTGAAAAGGGTCACCATCAGTCAGAACTGACTTGATGGCACGAATATTATTATTGTTATTGTTGTTGTTATTATTATTGAATCAAAGAGCCTATCCAATGGAAAGACACAGAACTTGCAAAGATGGGTTCCTTCCCCTCTTTCTTTGGCTTCCGATCAGACTCTGAGCATCGCCAGAAAAACATAGCAACCACAGCAGGAGAGGGAAAGTGAAAGTGGAAGCACAAGGAACCGTTAAGGAGAACAGACAGGCGATATGATGTTCTTTATTCCCTGGGCCATCGCCAGAGGGCAGTCAAAGCCCACAAATTTGGGGACCACAGGGCTGCCATCTGGAAGCCTCCGTCATCCCAGTCCAGGCAGCGCTTAGTCCACTTACTTTGGGGGACTAAGATACGGAATTACTTCTGCAATCCTACGAAGCACGTTTTCCCCCCAAGTTCTGGCCTCAAGCAACTCCACCATGGGGGTGGGGGGTGGGGGCCCAGCCTCACCTGGTGGTCCCTCGCCTTCTCCTTTCTGGCCCTCTTCTTGTCGGCCAGGCTGCCTCCTTTGTCCCCCTTGGGCTCCTTCGAAACCTTGTACTGTTTCCGGGGCTTGACGGGGGGCAGAGGTTTGTCATCTTCGCCCTTCAGGTGCCGGACATACGGGAGGACCAGCCTGCAAAGCAAAGCAGAGGCCCAATCCATGAAGTAAAAGCTTGGGAAACAGTATTTTCTGGCTAACAAAACTCTACACACACACACACACACACACACACTGACACCCTCTAATGAGGTCCAAGAATCGGCCCGTGCAGGCTTGAGAATGTTTTCGCATGGAATCCAACAACGGAGGAATGCCTGAGAAGCTCGCCATCACTTCAAACCAAGTGCCTAGTCCTCATGATTATGAGAGTGTGTTTGAAGCACACAGGCAACACCTCCGGACCAAAGTCACCAGTGGAACTCCCGGCACGGCCAGCCACCCTTTCTCTCAGTTATGTCATTTCTCTGCTGCTCGCTTCCCAAAGCCAGTTCTTGCCAAAATGGAACCAACAAAAGGCTGTATATAAACTCCAATACTGAAACTGAAACAAATTAGGCCCAAAACTGAACATGCTAAAGTGGTGATCTTTATCCCTACAGGCTTTATCAGAACAGACAGTTATTTCCTTTCAAACGAATCGATCTGTTGTTCCTCTGGGCCATCAAATCTCTTCCAACCCCTATGACTGAGGGATCTCCAGAAGGTCCGGCCCCTCAACCGCCCGGGTCAGCTCTTGCAAACTCAAGCCTGTAGCTTCCCTTATGGTATCGCTCCATCTCGTATTTGGTCTTCCCTCATTTCCTGATCCATTAATGGCACTTCAATAAAAGCCAGCGTGCTACCAGAGGATTCCTTTTGAAGATTACAAAGACAGTATCATGATAACGGCAAGGCAACGGTTTATCTCGTGATAAACTATGGAGTCTGAGAAGGAAATTCACAAAAGATCAAGCCATTCTGAGCTACTGCATCAAAATGAAATGAACGCCCCCCCCCCGCACATGGTTTGACGACACCTTTCTTAAGATGACTGGTAAACGCTCAACATAATGTTGGTATTACTATGCAAAACAAAGTCAGTTCCACTCATGGACTCCAGTGACAGTCAATCCAGTAAAAATACGGCTGACTATGTGGATTTTGGAACTCAGAATGATAAATAGTAGATAACCATTTCCCTTTCATTTCACTACAATTAGAACACACCAGAAACAAAGCAAAAGAAGGCCCCCCCCTTCAGGCACACCCAGACCGCTTAAAATCTCCCTTTGTGCTAAAGGGATCAAATTAACGAATTTCAAACCATTCACTTGCTGGTTGAAAGGAATTTGTGAATCTGACAGCAGGCTGCAGGTCATGAGATGCAAAATCTAACATGATGTGGGCACAGGGCATAAACCTGTGTCTCTCGGTTCGCCGTCTTCCCTGAAAGGAGGAAGACAAAGGGAGAAAGTCCATCACCTCTCATAATGTCTCCGCGTACAGGTAGCGGCGCTGGTGCTCCCAGGACTGCCCCCTAACATGTCGTAGACGTTCTTCCAAAGGCGTCTCCCAGTGACCTAGAACGGAAGGACAGTCCATGAAACTGGAGATCAAGTGCAATTATGCCGTGCTTTGCGTTCTCTATCACCAATTTACGGAGCCACCCAACAAGGGGATCCAGCCCACAAAGGACAGGAGAACTCACGCTGGCCCGAATTTCACCAGGGATGAACGTTATCGCCCGGGAAGGAACTCTACACAAAACGGGCTTGTTAGAGCTGCTGGAAGGCAGCCGATCTCGGGAGACTGATCCTAGCAAGCAGCTCTGAAAACATTCCCAGAAAACTAAAATCCCAGCCTTTTCATTTGCAAAACAAAACTGAAAGGAAAGAAAAAATGAAAGACGCCAACCCCATGTTTTTATTCAGATTTGCTGAGCATGTGGACACATTGGGTTCCCAGCCCTCCTCCTGGGTTATGGAGTTAATCCCCCTTGTGCTAATTCTCTGTGGATTCTGCATCACAACATGACTTCGAGGGAGCAACTATCCTGTATAATAAATATAATCTCCTTCCCAGAACAGCCTCTGCAGTTTGGAGGCCACAGCACTGTCCTACCTTACAGCGACAGCGTAAAGGTTTGCAACGTAAGTGTGGGCCGAGGGCTCTATATGCCAGGAACGCAATATCTCTAGTCTCTTAACAAAGCGCTGTGCACTGAAAGCTGGATAAAAACCTTCTTGTTTCAGGCTCAGACCAGGCATTAACTGGAATACATCTTTCTCAGATTCACAGGCTTTCCTTCCCACCGTGGGGTTACCTCAGACCTCGGTGGCTCAGCAACCCACCCCTTTTCACATTTCCACAATCAACACAAACCGATGCACGTTAAATGCAAGATACGTAGGTGACGGAAACAATGTGCTGTGACAAACAGCTGTCTGTCTCTGGGGATTTTAAGAGAGTACCTCTACCTCTTGCCCCAAAGGGACGGCCATGGCATGCCTGCCGATTCACAAACCGTCCAGTCCTCCATTTTTGTATGGCGTAAACACTGCTGTCGTTGTTGCTCCTGCTGTTAGTTAAGAGACCCTCCTACACACATTTTAACTGGGCTGGAGACCAGAGGGGCAACTGTGCTGTGGCCCAAGCCAAACCATCAGCTGGGAAAGGCCATTGTTTATGGACCGTTTGCTACGGCTTCCCAAGAGCACGCAACACACATGCCCGGCTCTCGTCTAAAGCTCTTTCTCAAGTTCCTTTCCAAAAGAGGCAGGTTTAAAAATATACAGAAGGGAAGTGGGGGTGGGAAAGGAGATGCCTATCTCTGTAACCTCGAAGTTGAGCAAATTTCCCAGAAGTTTGGTGGTGAAAACTTTTTCAAAAGCAAAACAAACCTGATCAGGGTATGTCTTACCTTTTTAACAGTGACAAGTTCAAAAGACCTGAGATCTTTACATTTCCTAACCTTGTTTCTGTGCACACTCTCCTTTCCCTTATTGTTTGGCTGTTGTGATACCTAGGATGGTCAGTCTGTGAGGTTGGGAGAGAACCTGGTTGCTCTTTCAAACAGTGGTTTTCCAACTTGGGTCCTCAGAGGTTGCTGGGGGGGGCAACTTCCCGATTCCCTGACCACTTATCGTGATGGCTGGGGATTCTGGGAGTTGTAGTCCCAAACAGCTGGAGAGCCAAGAATTGAAACCTCTGTTCATACTTCCCACAGCAGCTAAAGCCTTAACTCAATACTGTTCCCATTTTACGGAAGACAAAGTGACATCACAATTAGAGATGTACAATTTCCATTTTTTCAAAAAAAAAAAATCCCCCTGTTTTTCCCATGTACAATTTCCATTTTTTCAAAAAAAAATATTTTTTCCCCTGTTTTCCCCCCGGAAAAAAAAAATTGGAAATTTTCAGAAAGTTTGCATCTCTAGTTACAAGACATTTTAAAATGTATTTTATAATGTTATAAAGTCCTTTGTTAATTCACGAAATCCTTAAGAGACAGCAACTCCTACATAAAGAAACTAGAATGTTTACTTACCAATTCATAGGCCCCGAGCTTTTCTACAACTTTATAGATCTTGAACAGGTTAACTGAGTGGGGGGGGGGGAAGAGAGA